GGTACATGTACCTAAATGGTTGCGGCATCAAATCACCCAGTCGTCGGTTGCTCATACCATCTGTTCACATAAACCACCCACTTCATCCATAGGTAGGCATTTACTGGCCACCTATCACCAGTTTGATCCGGCCAAAATGTTTACAATCGTGTTAACACATGCTAACGCCGGTTCCTACGTTTCGCAGAGACAGTCGCGATCAGCCGTATCAAACCCGCACTCTGTGTGCAGAAACAGCTGTTCGTGAGCCTACGGCTGCCCTGGGCGCAGGGGTGTCACGCCTGCCCCTCTATCCTGTTCTAACTTGTTCCGGTCTCACCCTACCTGTCGTCTTATATATTTTCATGTTATTGTGTTGGCACTGAAGAGACAATACGAAATGTTGACATCTGCCAGTGTTCTGATTCGGTATTGCTTCTCCGAACACGGTTACGTATCGGTTACAATGCGGACGCCTCAACTCTTTGTTCACCATCACACAGTCGGCTAAGCGCTGTACAGCCTCTTCGCCCTATAAGGACTCGTCAGCAACGCGCGTCTCTCAATTCTTCCTTGATCCGACATCATGGCTGTTCAGTTTGTAGCCGGTAGCTAATGCCACTTCGCCAAACTTCCGAACTAGCCCTATACTCCAGCCCACCACTTTTTCTCGCTCTCCTTGATTGCACCGCACCTATCTGTGGTCGTTGTCAATATTATCATGGCCGGTGCCGAGTGATATGTGCGTCTGGTTTGCAACCATAAGGTCACCGGTTCGAATCCGCGGTGGGGGCGGGCGTTTTCGCGGTTTACCCAGCCCACGCGCCACTGGTGATGGTCGCGTGGCAGCGAAGCGCCGTTACGGCGCACAGCTGACGATCTCTCTATCTCTCTCTCCACAACCTTCTACTTTGAACCAGCATTGCATACTTTACCTGGCTAGTGGGCTATCGATCAATGAGGTTTATAACTGCTTTTTGCACTTCTCAACTAATAGGAGTTACTGCGATATTGCCATGGCCACCATAGCTTATGCTGTCATGGATTCAACCGTTACTGCTGCATCTATGATTCAAAATACCGCAACGATTTATGTAATCCCATAGGTTAACTGGGTCCAAAGTCGCGATTAAAAACTAACGACAAAGTAAGACACCTAATCAGATAGTTCATCCGAAATTGTGTGAAGAGCCCTAGTTTTGCAGATAGACCGGTCTACTAGTTGCTATGCCTAATCAAGCGGGATACCTTAGCACCATGATGATTCAGAAACCAAGGATCTGTTTCCAACCTCCAGCTGATCTCTACTAGTATTACTTGTTTGGTTGTCTCCCCAGATGTGAGCACAATCATTGGTGATTAGAGACTGTTTGGTGCTTTTTGGCACGCCTTCAACTTATTGATTTCCTTTTTGTCACGCTATCATTTGATATGTTCTCCGTCTACAAGTGAACAGAGGGCACGAAATGATACCACATCTTGTAACTTTCGTCTTCTTATTGTACTATTCAAGTTAATACAGGGAACTACCTTAAATGTCGATACTTCAAAGGTCATCTTGCTTTTCTTCGGTACATACTTTCCGCATCTGAGATACAAACCTGAGAAAACACAAGGTCGCTTGATGTTCAGCGGCTAAGGGCTGGGTGTTACACAATGTGATAAAGCGCCGCAAGATCTGCGAAGCGTTTCTTCACTTGACACATGCGAACTTCTATCGCAATCTGGTAACAGAAAACAATTCAACCCGCGTGTGCGGAAGTTCTTCTTTTGATGCTGTCTGTAAGTGCCAGTAGTTGAAATATTGCACTCTATAAGCCTTGTTTCACACACACGGCTTGATTCCCGGAACAAAAGGCGCAAAACTCGATGTAGCGGAAAGCATAAGCGTGGTTTTATATACTAGTACATTTAAGTGTACATAAATTACTTACGACTAGGTTTGTAGACATCATCTCAATGTTGTTCAACCGTGAGCCGAAACATTTTTAACAGTCTACTTTTCCGATCAGCAATAAACTGGGGGCAGCGGTGAGACGGATAGTTGCGGCCTGCACGTCAACCGTAAAGTGTGTGATTATAAGCCACTAGAACGGTTTTTCGGTTAACCACAGTGATGCGATTAAACAAATGTCACGGTCGTGCTCGTAGTTGTGAAGAAAGGCATAACGAAGGTAAAATAACATATATTTGCACATGCTGATGAGCAGGAAAAGAAAGATAAACTGGTACTTTATGGATCTGCATTTCACACTGTCTATAAGTTTCAACCGCCAATGGAAAATCTTTTAATTCCCTGTTCAAATTTCTGCTGTTTGAACAATTCGAACTTCTGTTTCCTTACCGAGCATTTCAGCTCAAACTCCGGGGAAGATTGCCTCATATGCATCTAGCTCTCCAACACATCATCGGCTCATTTTACTTATGAGTAGAAGAATTTTAGCGCATATTTTTGTTATTCGCAGTCAGCTGACAATTCAGATAAGTCAACTGCCTATCCGGAAAAGCACCAGACGGCCGTTTAGCCCTATTGAAGCTCGTCAGTGGTGCGCATCCTTCGGTCCTCTACGGAGGATCGAACCCATGACTGCTAGTGGCTCTTGCCAACTAGCCCGCTGCTTATGCAGCTGAGCCATGGAGGACGGTAGCCGACCCTCACGAATTGTTAGCTAACTGCGATATAGCCCGACCCATCCTCCACTGCCATGCAGATGACAGCGGTTGGCCTTCCGGCTCATTTTGTTCTCTCCGAGGTCTCTATTTTCTGTTCTCCTTTTGAGGAGACATTTTCAGCAGATATCGCAAACCGTCCAACATCTTTTTGTACTTCCCCTTCCATTGTGCTAGTAGAGACTGAGTAACAGATTCCTGGGCACAGACGACTTGCAACTGGTTCCCGATGACCGACTGTAGCAAGTGATCACAGCGAAAGTATGCACTACTGTACACGGCATAGAACCGCAGATAGCATATGTTGTTGTAGGTTGCTTTATGCGTTGAAGCGTTTATTCCATTTTGAAAGTCTACATGACGCACCATTTGAATACATTCTTAGCTTCTAGTATTGACCGTCGTCCACCATGTTGGTTTGAACCTTATGTTTTTCGGTAAATCGTTGAGTTAGCTGGTGTGTGTTTGGGTGGCATCATTGTGCTCTTACATTGATAAATAATTCTCGAGGTCGGACTTAGATCTATTCATGGAATCGGTTACAACAGTTATATCACAGAGCTCCTATGTGTAACTTACGTCTCACATTTAACCGTCCACATTGGCAAAAGTTATTGATTGTGTCGACAATCAGATTGGCTAAAAGCGACGTCCTCCAAACGGACACTGATGTGCTTTATCATGGATTGGCCTTCGACAATCGAAGGTCGGTTTTCGATTTTATTTGCTTCCTTTAAATATTCGGTTAGTCAACACCGATACCCACCTTATCTTAATCATATTTCGAAGGTCGGTTTTCCCAACCGCTTTACGTCCTCACTGGTTATTTTCGCTGTGTACATGAATATCGCTCCTTCATCAGTCAACTGCCTTGTTATGCAAGCTATCTGGACTTCTTACAAATCATTCTCATTTAGTCACTTGACTGATGAATCCTGTGATAGCAACTCCATCGAGCGACACAGATCCATGTTCCCGGTCTTTCACAAGCTCTGAATTCATAAGCGGGCCCGAGCTTACTGCCCGGAATTGCAACGAATAACGACATTTGACCGGATCACTGAGGAACACCCGATCGTATTCATACATACACGTAACTTGTACGATGAATATACACCTACACTCCATCGTGTGCCAGCAGACCTCCAGGGAGTTACTGGTTCTGCTTGTGGCGAATGCAACGCGGTGCAGACGAGTTTCAAATCAGAGAGCCCACGTCTAGATATCATGATGGTTCAAACAAAGCAAATTGGGTCTATTCACGCACTTCTTTCGTGGTACCGTTCTGACTCTGTTCCGCTGCGCCTATTCATGCCTGACGACGTATCGATGGTATTTGATTTGTGCACTATGCGTCCTTCGTTCGCAACGATCCATAATTTCTCTGGTTTCCGTAGCCTCGAGGTAACGTGCTTGTCTCGTAATCTTGCGGCGCGGGTTCGAATCCGCATAGAGGTGGGCGTCCTCGCGGTATACTCAGCCCGCGTGCGACTGATAATGATCGCACGGCAGCGAAGCGCCGTTTCGGCATACAGCTAGCACTATTATTATTACTATTTCCTCACGCCTATTCGTTTTTGCACACATTACTCATTAGTGATGGGCCCCACATACGATAATGCCGTGTCAGTGGAACGAGCATTGAAAATGTTCTATGTAACATTTTCAACTGTTGTTTGCGATTCAACTCTGCGTGTGATCAGCTATGCTTTTGGACGACTAAAGAGCAGACACGTGCATGTGTCAGCAGCTTTGCTGCCCCCTACCGCTTAACGTTGGTCGCCATTTCAACACCTGCACACCGTGGCATACTTGTGTGCAACCAATGTATTTATTCTCCGTATTTCCCACGTTTACATGCACATTTTCTATTTCTGCACAACAATTACAGTTGTCTCACTCTGACCAGTCGTGCCCGATTAATGAATCAACTTGGTTCTCCTTCTTCTTGGCCTTAATTACTTGACTCCAAAATTCAATGTGCAGCTATTGCTGACCGAATGCCGATAGTTGACAATCAGTTCATCACTTTCAATTGCATTCTGTTTTCCAGTTCATCGGTGCTGATTTTCAGCCCCCTGTCACCATTTTTACGAGTAGGTGAAGATCAATAACCACCCCAGACCTACAGCTGATCACTTTGATCTTCACACACGCACACACCACGTTTCGTGCACGCATTTGTGTCTGTCCGTATCCGTCCCTCACGAAGTGCACATGTTTGCTGACGGGCATCTGTCACAGAAATAATTATGTATTTTTGCTTGTCTCGAATCTTTATCCACCATTCTTGTATTTCGGACGTGCTTTTCTCAATTGCATACCATACTTTTTGTGCATTTTCCCCCCAGGCCGCCGGTGGTCTCACTTTCGGTCTCAACGTGATGGAATGTGCTCGCAAAGAGTGCAAAGAAGAAGCCAGTATACCCGAAGCACTTCTTGACAAACTCAAACCTGTCAGTCGACTCAGGCAAGCACTGTCCAGAATCTCATTTGTGTTCCACGTCACTTAATATGCCAACGCATTTGTCTCCCCGTCAAATTCGTTTTTCATTGCGCTTTTCCTATCGTCCAACTGAAGTGAACAGCATGTTGACTACAATGCTCTCATGTGTACCAGTGGCCGAAACCATTACACTCTTGTCTTGTACTCCGGAGATCACTTGTTCCACTCCCCATGTGCGTCGGCGACTTCGCGGTATACTTGCCTCACACGCAACTATTGGTGGTCATGTGCTAGCGAACCGTTGGTACGATATGCCGGCGTATCGCTGATACCATTCTCGTCCTATTTCCTTCGATTTCACCAACCATCTAGGGGCAGTTTCTATCATTGTCGTTGGGGCCAAATGCACACTTTATGTTCGGTACTTTGACCCACAGGGCAATATGAAATCCTTTCAGCTCTGATTTAGCGCTGTTTTGGCCATTGTGAGCCGGGATAAGACTGTCTCTCCTAGGCCGCCTTATGTTTGCGCGATAACCAGTTGATTGCGACCGTGTATTACTGACGACGTGTAAGCACCTTTAAATCCTTAGTCGTAGTAGTACTCTTATTATTATTATTATGATTATGATTGTTATTAGTATTAGTAATAGTAGTAGTGGTTATAGTAGTAGTAGTAAACACCATGAATTATTTACATTAGATACCTGCCTTCTCTTCTTGCCCCTGTTTCTTCTTCGGACCGTTATAGTTCCATGGCGGAGAAGCATGCGGTAAACTGTTGGCTATAGAATTGAAGACTGGTAGCTCAGGTTTTTCAGATGGCTGTTTAACTGTTCACTGAGCTTGACAATTTTGTTGCAAACGTTTCGTCACCCATCGAGGTGACGTCATCACTGAGTAGTTGATTGGCGTGCAGTAGCATAGAGGAACCTCGGTGAGACTGCGCTGAGCATGGTATGCGCGCGCTTTTATACCGCCGTGGAGACTAGCAATCCTATTGGTTGGGACTTCGATCCGCGTTCCGCTTGGTTGATGGGCGAATGACCTTTCACCCTGACCCCTTGTGTTTCGTGGCCTTTGTCTGCTTGCTCTTGTGAGCGAGTCTATCGTCAGTTCTGGTTGTCTAGTCACATTTCCCACTGGGTTCAATTGGTGATCGTTCGCCATTAGTGTTGCATATACTATGTCCAGTTCGATGTGTCGATTGATTAAATTCGTTGTATAGTACCAGGCTTTCAAAAACTCCCTCACGTGTTTTATACTTCCATGTGCTAGGATCTTTACATTCTCCAGACCAATATGATGGTCTTCTTGGTCTTCATGCACAGAAACCAATCAGTGTGGATCATGTCTTCTGACGGCCGCCTTGTGTTCGTTGATTCGTGTCCAAAGCTTTCTTCCAGTTTGTCCGACGTAATTTTTATCGCAGCCACTGCATTTCATCTGATAGATGACATTGCATTGGTCGGCTTGATTGACTTTTTCTTTGGGTCTTGAGATCAATTTCCTTAGGGTAGCACTTAGTTTGTGAGCCCCAGAGATTCCATGTGACTGCAGCAATCTTCCTGTTAGTTCGGAGACATTCTTGATGTACGGGAGCACTATCCGTTTGTTTGCTTGCTCAGGTGACTGCTCTGCTGTTGCTGAGACTTTCATTTATTTAAGCTTCTGATAAAATTTCTCGGATGACCGTTGTTTCTAAACACTCGATATATGTGATTTTCTTCCTGTTTCTGCGATCCGGCTGTGCTGCAGTACGTTTCCGCTCTTTTGAACAGGGTTTGAATGCAGCTCTTATTGGTATTCATTGGTTGGTTGCGATTGGTAACGAAACCTTAACAACAACATTCCCAAGCTCAGCGAACAGTTCAATCGGTACACTGATATGTGCTGCTTCCTTTGTCCACATCGTGTATAGTCGGTAAAACGATAGTTTTTGCACAAATGCTTTCTTTCACACAGGAACCTCATATTTGAAAAGTGAACTTGATACTAGGTACTCCTGTGCACTTTTGCCTCTTACGTACTTTTAGAAGTGTGTTGAAATGTACTATTCTGAGTAGGACATCTTATGAGGACCACTTTTAAAATTAGTGCAAGATGGAACAGTGGATCATTCATACCTCCCTCGCTCCCCATACTGCGGCCATTATTTCACCTGCGGGAACCCTGTAACACCCCTGGAGGACACCGTTACAAACTCAGGGTCCCCAGCATGCACAAAGTACCACATCAGCTTTGTATCGAACGAAGAATCGTAAACTTATGGAATACACTACCAGAAGGCCGATTCTGTGAAGTGTTTTAAAACTCGTATTGACGATTATTCCGGAAAACTGTGCTTTTGTGAAACGATGCACATACAATGCCAAAAGAAGACATTGAATACCCGGAAATAATGACACTAGTACAAATTCCTAACCGAACAAGAAGAAACGATTAACGGACCAGACACAACTGCTGATGATTCACAACTAAATGTTTTTGATTTTTCGTAATTCGATAGAGTTGTACAGAAACCTTTCTACTTGCTCTTACATACAGTCTCAGTAATCTGCAGAGTGGATTAAGTTCATGATCTAGGAAGGAACATTCTCAGTCATGTAAGCTAGGTAATGCTTCTTTTCTGAAGCAGGTAATTGTATGAGCTCATCACTGTCTGTGCAGGATTAGGGAATGTTCCATTTGAGCGAACCAAACAATCGCTGCACTCCGTTTCCTACGCGCAGAGCGGCTGAACAGTCTCCGGTCCTACTGCGGCGAACTGAAGAGGCGTTACCAAAAACCACGGTTCAACAGGGTAACCTCACACCCGTATAACGCAGGACGAAAGCAAATCAACGAGAGAAAGTTGGATTTTAGCGAGAGTTGTTATACTAGTCTAACCAAAGGCGAGTACAAGTTCTACACCTTCATGTTTATGTTTTAAATTCACCGAGTAGCGTAAGGTGTTTGATTTCTAGACGAAGGTGAATGTCACGACGAACATGTGGTTTGTCACACCGCAGTATTTCACTTGAATCTACATCACGTTTCGCGAACGCAGCTCCAGCGGTTTTGTGGGTTATCTTTGAGTTCCCTGTCACTTGACCACGCATAACTGGGCGATACTATCAAATCCAATCGAGTAAGAGAAGTTATTGGGTCTATTATTTCCTGTTTGACCCAAAAGGAGAACGGGAATTGCGAAAACGGTGTCTGACAATGTATGCGGTTTACCACGTATCATGTCACATCCTGCGGTCCCATTGTGTGAGCGTCAAGCGGGCACGATCACGTCTTCACGATTCTCCTCGTGATCACTGCTTCCAACTGAAACTGTACTACCATGTCTCAATCAGCGAATCAACACAGAATCCGGGCGGTGACCACGGATCTGTCGTTCGAAAAAGTAAACACAGACATCACCATCGTGCATGAGCTGGCTACACCGCGAGTTCTCCCGCACTTAAACCGGTGACTTCTGGATTACAACGGTATTCATGTGCGTCAGCTTTTCACTGGTTCTTTCTCACTGCTACAACTTATGCTTCGCGTCTATGTTTCATTGACCCGTACGCGTTGCGTTCGGTCCAAAACGCACTCCTGCTCTGTTTGTGGCCACGTTCCACTTGGCTGATACTAGCTTACCTCAAATCTTCCGCAGTTGTTCTGTCCCGTGTGGGCGTTACATGATTCGCTTCCTTCTCAACCTCCACCTTTGGATTCTTCCACTCAGGTGACTAGCCGCAATCGCACCACGTGTCGCCAGTCCGTGTTTCTGGTAGTCTTCCACCAGTCTGTATTTCAAAAGAAGATAAGAAAGGGCTTTTTATAAACCTATTGATGTGCAAACACCGTTAAATGACATTTAAAATTTGTGCAGCAGCTCAATGCATTAATTTTTATCCGTGTTTCCTGGACCACTTTAGTTTTGTTTTTATGAACAAGTTCTGAGATTTTGCCTATAAAGGGTATATTTCTTTTTTCGATCGTAATTCCTAAATGCCTGCTAGGAGAGCGCAGCGTATACGTCTGTTAACTGGTTCGTGGCCATATACACCCACATCTATAAGGCAGCTGTGTATTCGTCTAAAATGTCCACTTTTACCATTTTTCATAGAACTCAACGGAGCATTTAGTTGCCTTCACACACCAAATTGTGTTCTCTCATTTAGCTGCATACTAAACAGTTGTAAAAGTGAAGCTCCAGTAACGTGACATAATGTAATGGTTTGTTGCTGCAGGTGGAACAACAATCCTTTAACGGAATTAATCTTTTCTCGTCTATTATTTCAATTTGAATTTTCGCGCTACAGACTAGTGGGACGCTAACCGTGTTTGTTGGCGCACACTTGAAATTCGTTCTCTACGGTTCAGGCCAGTTCACACACCCCCATCATCCTTAGCCAAACTGGGCTTCATCCGCACTGAGCTGGACGAATTCTGCCTTGTTCCTCAGACCCGCGCTCTCGTGATCAGTTCACCTGGGCGGCGCTTGACCGGTCTCCTGTTTCTCTACACAGTGACGGGTTCCTTCACTGAAGTGACTAACTGTCATCCCAGTTACCACTTCCAATAGAAGTGTCAACAAACAAAGCAAGTATGGTGGGCAAGAACACATGTCATTTGTTCCCATGCAAGATAAGTGTGCTATTATCCAGAAGAATCTCATTTCAGACGGTCCTGCTATCTTAAATTGCTGCAAGCTTGATCCCACGAGTGTGTATTTTGTGTTTCAAGTCACCGCGATGAGTCGGCGATGACTTTAGGGACAGCGTTGACTATTTCCACAAACATACATGCACTAGTGACGATTTAAACTGTTCTACGTGTAAAGTGGAGGTTGGTACTAATTTTGCCGTCTTCGAGAATACGTTTTCGAACTGAGCTTCAATTGCTACTCTATTATCTCTTCTGTTAGGAAGGCATAACTTAGGCCGCAAGGACAAAACTTCAACAGTAATTTGATCGAGTACCAGGGATGATAAGTTGGTGACTTACCTTTCTGCTTTGGTTCGAAATAGCCTCCTACGTTTCTC